TATGTGCCGTGTAACTTCAGGACGTTTGTGATCATGGCTCTCCCCAATTCCCTGTCCTTTGTAGCTTTTAATAAATTTGATCTTTTTGCTATCCCTTCTAAACCTTTTTCCGCTATTCATTTACTCAGGTTCGCTAGGTGGGTTATGCGTTATTTTCCTCCGTTCCATTTGACTTTAATCTCTCATGTGAGTTTTAAATTATCCAAGTCCTCTTTCCTCATTATGTGCCCTAGTCTCTTCCTGATGTTAAATATAAGCGTCATTTCAGTTTCCATTTTCTCTGAGATTTAGTTGTTGATCACATGTTTGCTCCATAGTATTCTACGCATACATCTGTAAAACCATATTTGTGTTGCTTCAAGTCTCTTAATCTATGCGGAGATTAACCAGCATTCAATGCTATATTGGAGATCTGACACTGAAGCCAACTTCAGAATTGAAAGAGTCTTGTAAGCCGTTCCTTGTTCTGAAAGAAGGATAAACTGAATGATAACATCAAGCGCTGTAGCTTCAACATTAAAACTGGACAAACCTTGCGAAAACTCGTAAAGAGTGAAGAACCACCAGATTCATTGCCCTAAAATCTATTAAAGAGAAGAAGCAGGAACATCGTAACAACCTATAGGTTCGTCTCAAGTTTAAATATTAATGCGCATTCAGCCATATCAAGTTGAAACACCGGTTCTAATCAGATCACTGACATTAAGCAATGGTCAGTACCTAAATGGGTGGTCGCTTAAGATTACCAGATACTGTAAGGTTTAATGTACGGGTGGTGTGATGTATATGAGAAATCGGACTGAATACGAAATCGGAGAGCCGACTCTGTTACATTCACATCTACAAATACCTTTGGGAAAAGTATGAATACATCTCTTCTCCTGCCCGCTATGGGTCAAATAGTAAAAAAAAGACTGGGTTTTATACCCTTGATAGGCAACCAGTCTCTCGCAGAAAAAACGACAGTCTCCTGCGGGAATTCTTCTGCAAATCATCATTTATCGAAAAGAGATATGATCTCTCAAGTTTGCGTCACGTATGGCACCTAAGGAATGAAAGGTGGATTCGGGGCATGTAGAAAAGTATTCTTAAATCTTGACAGACGCCTTTTCTTAAGTGGAATGTTTTTATTATTTGACAATAATCTCGACTTTTTCAATCGCATTCATTTCGCACTAATTTCCTTCTCCCACATGCTATGGGTTAAATAATGAAATATACTGGACAAACTAACTTTGTGTGAGAACCAATATAAGAGAATCCAAACCCTAAATTCCAAACGTGAAAAAGGCAACAAGAAACCATTCCATTAAGTTTCCCAAAAAGGCATGGCGATTCACGGATAATAAAGAAAAAGGAATATGTGGAGAGCCATGCTGCCTACGCCCTGAAGAGACATGGTATTATGTTTTTAATCTTTGTAAGCGCCCCGGAAGGGTAACAGTTAACGAGGCTGGTCTCCTTCACTATCAGTTACCTTAACCTTAAAATGTACGCTTTTTAATTCCCTATGAATCATTTTCCTTAATTTGTCAGCTCTGATTTTAGTAGAATTTCTTACAACCATAAGACCATCATCTCTGTATAACCCTATACGATCAACATTAACATCATCATAAGCGCTAAGATTATATAGGATAAATAAACCCATCAGATCAGAAGACTCTGCAGAATCTAATGATCCCATAGAGTGATCATCAGAGTTTTTAATCCACTGTTCATTGTTGTTAATGATAACAGATCTTCTACAGTTCATTATTATATTTATGTCTTCACTGGAAATGTTAGAGCATTCCTTGGCAAATTCCAAAGCTAAGGTAAAAATATCCTTGAAATATCCTTAAGGGGTAAAATTCAACGATATCAAATTGGATAAAAGAACACCTTCTAAAAGCTTAAATCTTAAGGTTAAGGTAACTATTAATGTTAAACGGATTGATTTTCTTGATGTTACGTTAGATTTTGTTAATGATGTATTCTAACCTTATTGATTAGAATGTACTATTAACGTCTTATATGCATGCTCTTTATTTAACGGTTGCATATTAATTTGCTAAAATAGTTCTGTATTTTTTATCCGTTTTTTTTTTCGAACGGTAAAGTTATTTACTAGTTTCTTAAAGGGGCCTTTTATTTATCAACTACAAAATGTTATGTACGAAGCTGAACGAGAATATAACTAGTTATATTACGTTAAATTACCCACCTCACATCTTTCGCTTTTACTTCTTAGGACAGTTGAACGTCAGACTTCGATACATCTTACGAAATAGAGAACTTCGTGTCATGACCTATATTAATTTTTTTTTCCTGTGAATTTGAATTTAGCATAGGTTACATTCGAGTTTTTATTCACGGCAAAGCCACAGGGCTATTTTTAAAGTATTCTGCTTTTGAAATTAAATTAATCTTTAACTTGCCAGTAGTTTGTAGTGTTGAAACATAATTGCTATTATGTAGCGATTTTTAACGTTTTTAATATCCTAAAATGAATAATATATATATATATATATATATATATATATATATATTAACCGTGCGTCAACAAATTATGTAAATATTTTAAGCGTTGTTTTGTATGTAAGCACAATGCAATTACAAAATTATATATATACAGATGAAATGATAAACAGCAAGCAATGAGAATTAATGTAAACAGAAACAAATGACAGTTTGTCATCTATAAATATGTGCGCATGAACGTTACAGTATGTGTGATTATGTATATTATTAGCTATTTACACTCCATTAGTCTTACTGTCTTCCCAATACATCAGCTTCTATTTCAAATGATTATTAATTTTCGTTGTTATTTCTATTTGTGCTCTATATTTCGAAAAATATTTCATCTTATATGTTGAAATTAGGTCGAGAAGAGTTTATCCAAACACCGATGATCATGATGATAGTAATTTAAAAAATAACCAAGAAAAAACAAAGAATAAAACCTTGACCGATGATATGTAAAAAGAAACAATAGAATTCAGAAGAATACTAAAAACTTTCGAGAATAACTTTTCCAATAATAATAATAATAATAATAGTTTGTTGTTTGCTTAAATACCCTTTGCCGATTCAGCAATTCTTTTTTATTCATTTTTCTTTATTTCAGTTTTTATTGTTTTAATTTGTTTATACATATTTATTTCTTTATTTTTGTCAATTTCATTTTCCTCTCTACTGAATGCGTCACCAATTGCATTGGCTGTTTAAGTCTTTCGCCAAGTATCTATTCAAAGAAAATCAGTTTTCTTTTCAAATTGGTTTTGTCGGAAAGTGTGAAATATCTAGAAATAAACAGTCGGGGAATAGATCGACAACAACAACAATAATAATGACGACAATTTTTTAATCAAAACAGCAATAACACTATTTGTATTGCAAAAACGGTAGTAGCAATAAGATCAAGTTACTTTAAACAAGGACAAAAATGTCAGGTAGTGGATGCTGCTGTTCAACTTTTTAAACGAAAAGCTGGATAAGTATCTTAACATCGCCAGAGAACTGCGAAATTATGGAAGATGGAAGTGACAGTTGTACTTCATGTTGTTCGAGCACTGGAAACGAACCCAAGAAGTCTAGCAAAAATACAAGAGAAACTGGAAATCGGAGAAAGAACCAAGACTTCTGAAAACGGTCCTGCTGTAATCCAAATATTATAGATAGCGTTGGATTAATAATGAAATTTGCTGTCATATGATCTCCAGTGTAATCCACCAGCTACTACTTATGAGTAAATTCAGTGTTTACAATATTAATGATAATAATAATAATGACAGTATTATTATTAATAAAACTCTCAAATAATAACAAAAGGAATCATAGCAAACTACATAGTGTTGTATAGCGTAAGGCATGAAACAAATAATAAACACAATGCGGCAAATGTAGATAGTGATGACAGATTACGCTGTAACGATAATAATGTCTGTCTCGGTTAATTTATTTAATTATTAATGAAAATAAGAGATTGCATCAATAATTCCATAGCTTGACACAGTTATTAGCTGAATTTTTATTTGAGATTTTCACTCCATAATGATTGGTCTTAGTGATTAATGGGGAAGCGTTTGGCTTAATTGCATCGAAAAGGAAGAAGATTATACCAAAAGATAAATACAAGCTGTCTACAAAGTCATTAGACAAATGTAAAAAATGATTAAAATTACGAAGGAAACTGGATACTGTGGAAATCATTACATAGTACAAAGTAAATAGTGAAGTTTTGTATAAAAATAGTTAATAAATTTCTATATGGACCTCTACCACATTAGTTCATTAGCCCTAGAGAACATAACCAACTGATTAAGGCCAGTCATGAGCAAATCTGTGGAACTGAACGTGATATTTTCTCTAGTTATTATTATCATTGTTATTATTATAAATCCTCTTTGGCTTTGATATGTTTCAATCTCAAGGGGATATTCCCAAGCGGTTATGACCAGGCGCATCACAGACAAATTTGTGGTACTGAGCGTGATTTTACTGTAGCTCATCTTAATTGACCAAGATAAAACATGGATAAGATAACACCCCCAATCAATTAAGATCAGGAGCCATGCTTGGTGTAGCATCAGGGCAGTTATTATGTAGTATGTTGGTTACCGTGTGTCTGCTGATTGTGGTTAAGTGTTAAGGATACTCATATCTCCAGTACTTTCATTCTCCCTGTTCTCGCAGACCCTGGCACTGCTATAGATTAGATAGTTAATTTTTACTTAGATCTCAATTTCAACTCGGTTTCAAGAACCTTAATCGTCATTAGTAGGAGTAGTTTTCACACCTTAATTATCTGGTGACAACATTTATTAAGAGCTACAAAGGAATAGGAAATTGTAGAGAAACATGATCGCCAACGTCCTGAAGGGGCACGAAACATAGTAGTATCAGGTGGCATTTTTGAGATCAAGTGACAGCAAATTTTTTTAATCTTTCAGTATCTTCGCTCAGTATTCCTGCTGATTTTAGTGATGCTATCCTTTTATTATCATCACTTTCGCTTACGGCCATATAGCGTTGAAACATCGGTCCCCCTGCAATCACCGAAGTTAAACAACGTCGTACCTAATCAGTACTTAGATGAGTGATCGCTTAGGAATACTAGGTGCTGTAAGCATGGACGTACGAGTGGTCTAATGAATAATGGCTCTGAATTGTTAATCAGAGAGCCGAGTTCTAATTCCAGTTGGGTTCGCTATATTTGTCTGCGCACAAATACCCTTGTAAAAAGGTATGAATCCACCTCTTCTCACCCCAGCTATGGGTTAATTAGTAAAATGTGTATCGCTAAAGCATTATTATCTCAAAAAAAGGTCTTACGATCTAAAAATATTTTCTGGCTTTAAATAACCTGCAACTTTGCTGTCTATATTTTTTTATATCTCGATAAGGTTGATAAAATATTGAAGATGAAATTTAAAACGAAAAACTAAAAGTAAAATACTTAACAAATAATTGTCTTTATTGTTTTTATATTTTCTTATATATCAGAGGGACAATATTTTAAGGAAGCAACATTTTTACTAGATAGTCACTATTTTTTAGATATAATTTACGAAAGTAAATTTAATGTTGTTTTATTAAAGACACTACTTTCATTGCTCACTACTTTTAAAAAAGCAATTTTAATGGGTTTTTATTAGATATTACATTTTATGAAATAGACATTATTTTAACGAAAACATATTGAGTCCGCTGGTCACTTCAACATTTAATTGCTAGGTTGCACTGTTTTATGACCATAGCTTAATTTTTAAAATTAGCTTTCCTACTTCTTGAATCCAATAACAAGTTTCTCAAATTCATGAAGTATATCTGGATTCAAAAATGCCTCCCAAAATGTGGGGTTTGTCACAAATTAATGCACTATATAATCAAAAGGTTACTCCTCAAGAGGCACACATACATAGGTATCTCAATTAGATTCATTACGGCACAATGAACATTGTATTAACTTGGTTCTAAGCCTTTTATGAAAGTCAATTCCTCACTACACAATTTGGTTTCAGTTCTAGTAAGGCATGTAATGACGGTATACATGTCATTAAACAACTCCAGGAAATCGAATACCTCTCCAACAGAAAATTGTACGCCTACTATGTCGAGCTCACAGCAATAGAGATTTCTTCTCATTCATTAGAAAATGACTTTCAAGCACTAACTTGAATGTATAGATATAATAGAGGAACAATATCGGTCCGTTTAGTCGTACATACCTGGCGAAGATCCTAATACCGAATAATTTCAAAACTCATCAGGAGTATGGCAAAATGAAATGAGAGCTCCAATCTTTTCCGAGACTATGTCCTGCACATATACAATCACAGATGTGAAAAGATTGGTACTGATCATTTAAGCATTCCATACCACATTCCAAACAAAGCTACTAATAGAAAACAACATTCTAGCTTTCCCTCCCGAGGCAATAGGAGGGTTATTTTAATGGCATAAATATTCATAGTTAGGAAAAGAATCATCTTAAACAAAAAAAAATCAACATCCTCTACCAAATGTTCAAAGAAATAGGATTCAAGATAAACCTTTCCAAAAACAGAATTTATTATCAGGAATTGGAATGGATGCAATGATGGCATCTAGCCTTAATCCATCATAAACATTCAAGATGTGGAGTTAGTAAATACTAAACAATTACCTCAGAGCATGGATCATTTTTAATAAATTTAGTGTAGGAAAAGAAAATTGAACACAGGAAAGGCTGTTTTATGAGTAGTTTCGCACAACACTGCAAATCGCTACAAAGCCAAAACATTAACTTTAAACATCGAGTTATGTACTTAAACAGCCTTAAATTTGAACGAATTTCGTGGACTGGTGCTACAGACTCACAAAATAATAACTGTAGCAAGTAAGAGAAATCACACCTGTTGAAGACTTTAAGCAACAGCAACAACTAAAATGAATAGCACATGTAACTCGAATAGAAAATAATGACATAATCAAGACCTTCCACACTTCTTTGAGCAAAGCCACCAGTATTGGAAAGAGCAATAACAGTTATTCGATCCGAGAAGCCTGTTTTCTTGAAAAACAATTATTGTTTGAAAAGAAAGATTTTATAAATTTCTACTGAAACTAGCACTGGCCGCTCGATCAATGAATAACGAATGTTTCCTTTTAAGGAAATGGCTAATATTACCATTACTATTTTCCTTCTTTCACTGGCTCTATATATTTCAATAATACTGGATTATTCCAGTAGGGTGATGTAGAGCGTAGTCGGGCTAAAGCTGGCCGGAATTAGTTTTAGAATTCCTATGAATTGTATGACAACTACATTTGCTCAAAATGAGTTCAGTAGTGTATTTATGGGATGTGAAAGAGAGTGATATTGGTACATATGATCCTGCACCCTAGAGATATCAGGGTATTGTAGACAGCTATCGAAACGTCATGACTCACTATCTTCCCGGAGATCTTCCGGTTACTTGAGGAATCGGTACCACGTCTAGTTGCTTCACTTTAACAAGTGAGAGGGTGTGTCCTCTACAATACAATCCACCCAACAATTGCCCACACTTTTAATCATTAAGCTATCTCCACACTACCGCACGTGGAGCTGGCAAATGTTTTGTCAGGGCAGAAATCCTTTATCTTATCCCGTCTTAAGTGAAGAAAGATATCTATGTTCATTGTTTATCCTTTTCGGAAATGTATTTGAAAGAAAAAGACCATTAAGAAAACAAACAGATTAAAGTGAAACAAACCCAGCGATATTTGTTTTATTTCTAAACTTATGTTAACTCTCTTCGCAAAAACTCAGTTTTACTGTTGCATTTTACATGAAGATAAACTCTTTTCAATCTTTTATCTTTCACGGGCCCCGTAACCATTAGGATTCTAGGGGGACCACATGTACTGCAGCCGTAGTAGCAGCGGTGTAGCTTTAGCAAGGTGTCTGAAGGAACCCAACCCTCACCAGGCTGGTTTGAGATCATTTTCCTTCTCATAGACTGATTGGTACCCAAGGCAAAATTGCAGCAAAATCCGACACTTGACAAAAAGAAAACGAAATAGTTGTATATGCAGAGACCCGACAGTTTATTTAGCAACTGTTAGAGATACATACTACATTATTTTTCAATGTAAACTCCGCCGTCGGCGACGACCATCTCAAGGCGGGCGCGAAATGAGTCACACGCCTTGGCGACTATGTCTTTGTCCATAGCGTCGAACGCTTCCACGATGGCAGATTTCTGAGAGTCGACCGTGTTGTGGGCGTGCTTGTTGGTCTTGGCCTCGATCACGCCCCAGAATATTTAGTCAAGGAGGTTGAAGTCGGGTGTCCACAAATCCGGCGACCAGTGGTGAAGAACATTGTTGAGCAGCCACGCTTGGGTCGTCTTGGCCTTGTGTGCAGGAGCGGAGTCCTGCTGAAAGACGTAGGGGCGTCCAGCGACGATCTCGTCGATCGAGGGCTTCACCACCCTCCTCGGCACCTCCTGGTAGATCTCAGCGGTGCTCTCAGGCCCTTTTGAAATAAGAACGGAGGCATGACGTTCCCCTCACTGGAGATGATGCCAAGGACCATGATGGAGGGGAACATCCACCTGCCGTTCTGCCTGTTGCTCGTCTTGTCCTGGATGAAATTTTTTTCATGAGAGAAGAACCTCAGCATCCCGGCGGACCCGTGTTCGAGCTCGTTCAGCAAAGCCACCGCCTTGACCTTCCTCGACTCCTTAGAGGCATTCGTGATGAGCATGCAGTGAGACTTGCGGTAGGAGGAGTAATCAATGTCCTTTTTGATCGTTCGGCAGATCGTCGACTTGTGACAGCCCATGTCAGCGGTGATCTTGGCGTAGCTCTGGCTTCCATCATTTTCTACTGTCTTCTTGACGGCGGTGACGAACTCGTCGGTCCTAACGGCCGAAAAACGAACACTGTAGGCATTTGGCAGTAAACTCCTTCTTGTTCTCACATGCCTTCCACTTCCTCCAAATATTCATGAACATTGTCCTATTGAACCCAAACCAGGCCATCACTTCAGCAGGCTTCTTCCCGACGCGAAAAGAAGCTACTACCACTGCTCTGCGCTCATATTCCATCCTGGAAAAGGGTAGAGAGAAAAATGTTAGTTGTCAAAACTGTCGGGTATCTGCATATACAACTTTTGTTTTTATTGCCTATTTCATTTTCTTTTTTATTTGGTGTCGGATTTTGCTGCAACACCCTGTAGTATCCAGTTCGCCCTGCTTTTTTACCATGGCTGGTGGGGTAGAGGAAAAGGATTCCCAAGGTTATTAGCAGGTAAGTGAATGTAATGAACTCCACTGGAATTCGAACCTGGCCCTCCCATTTCTAAATCCGAACCACTATACATTACCCTGCCAAATAATGATTAGATTATATGCGAAATAGAAAATCACAATACACTAAAAACTCATGATATTTTTGTAACAACTGATGATGATTACTCATTTATAAAAGTTGTTTTCTGGGCATTGAGCTTAACAACTTGCTGATAAAATATATCAACAGAAAGAAAAAAACATCGTTAATAAACGAATTGTATTGGGACACGTACTTGATTTCAGTTCTACGTTAAGCTATTTAAGTATAAGACGTTTCAGCGTCATTAATTCACTCTGTATGCAATACACAAGTATACTTGCAAAATCAGTAGTCCATATTGTCTATCAAAAATCGTAAAAGTGATTGTCATTGACTTTTATCCCAGTTTCTAAAGCTGAAAATGAAACTACAAGTCTGCCAAAGCAAAGCTAATGCTCAAGCACACAACAATAACACCATGAAAGGATAATGTGCGTCTTTATCGTTTCTATCCCTGGATTGTAACGACTCTCCGATGACAGCTTAAGCAAAACCTTACCGTCATCTTAAAGTTTTGTTGCTAGGCAACGAACGAGCGGTGGAAAATAGATACACCCAGTAAACGTCATATTTAGCAGCATAAACTGCTAAAGCGGAAACGGATTCGTCGTTTTCATAATCAACCAGTTCAGTGTTAATTTTGAATGGGCACTACAATAAGGAACACAGAAGGGAAAAGCTTAATAGCGATAAAGGAGGATGAAAAAAGGGAGATGTCTAAAAAAAAAGGAGAGAAAGCAACGAAAATATTACATATATATATATATATATAATGAAAAGCGGGTGGATTGGAAAATAATGGAGAAGTTGATAATCGTAAGGGAGTGGAGGTAAAAAGGGGGGGGTAAAAGAAGAAAATAAGTAAAACACAGTGTATGATCGGAAAGAGAAAACAAATCGAAACAGACAAAGAAAGCAAAGCCAATTGCAGAGGAAAAAGAATTTGAAAGAAAGAATCGAAAATGAGAAAATCTAGAAATATGGATACTGAAAAGAGCTCGAGAAGACAAATAAATGTCAAGAGACGAAAAAATAGAGAAGAATGGGGTTTGTCTCTTTGATCATTCTAAGTATAAACAATGTTGCTGAGAAATAAGGTAAAATAAAAAGTCAAACGTAATCACTCTTCGTGCCAAGATTGTTAAAACCTGGCACTTACAGAACTTGCATCTACAGTGTAACCCGGATATAAGAGACTCGGATATAAGAGAAACCCGGATATAAGAGAGATTTTCTCTGGTCCCAAATTAGAGCCTGTGTTACCTCAACAAAATAGACCAAACCCGGATATAAGAGACTTCTTCTCCGGTCCCGACAACTCTCTTATATCCGGGTTACACTGTATATGAAAATTATTGATTTATTTAACCCCTGGATTTCAGTAAGAATATTTTGACGATGTGTATGGCCGACTTTATAAAGAAAAAAAAATGAATCGCTAAACAAAGATATTTAACAGACATAAGATAAGATACGTCTGGTAAAAACTGTACAATAAATTCGGACCCAAAACAGTAAAAATCTGATGAAGTCAGATAAGTAGATAACATTTAAAGACTTTTCAGTTGATATGATATCGTCGACAAAAGAAACATAAGTTTAGTTAAGATTAGAAATCCAAAAGACTATGTAAAATAAGAAATTATGCAGAATCAGATCTGATAGATTAAAGGTGAGAACTGAAACCGGAAAATGAAATGAGAGTGAAAAGAAAAAATATAAGAGGGTAAGCGATGAATGATTATTTGTAGAAAAAAAATGTAGAGAGTAAAAGAAAGATTAATCAATCGGGAGAAAACGGGGATAAAAAAAATTATAAAACACAATGCATAGAAAAAAGATGAAAATGGGAATTATAGAACATAAAGCAGCTATACGTAGAAACTGAGCGACGGTGCATTTGGATAGTGAAAGATGACTTCCAAAAGTTAAATAAAGTATTAAGAAACAGGAAAATGTTGTTAGAAAGAAAGAAAGAAAGAAAGAAAGAAAGAAAGAAAGAAAGAAAGAAAGAAAGAAGTAATATCAGTCCTGGTATATGACAGTGATTGCTGGACAATCTGCTCAGAATTGAAGAGGAAACTCGAAGCAACAAAAACGTGGCTCTACAGAAAAATGCTAAGAATACCATGGAGTGAACATGTGATCTATTACGAAGTTTTAGAAAAAAATGGAAACAAAAAGGTCAGAGGGCTTAGAAAATTTAATACTCGCAGGACAGATTAAGCAACAGGGGAAAACAAAGAATAACCTACCTAGCAAGCTCGAGTAAATGAATGGCGGAACAAGCTTATAGAGCTATAACAAAAAGAGTTACAAAGGACAGGAAATTGCGAATAGCCACAATCGCCAACTTTCCGAAGGGACACGACACATAGAAGACAGAGAAACGTAGAAAAACGGATAAATACGATGGAAAATTAAATGTCTTTTAAGAAAGTGCCATCATGAATAACGAATTGTGGAAGTTAAACGGAAGAACAGATTTAAGCATGAGGTGGTATCAGAATGTTCCCATACTATACCTGAAAAAGTGTACCATTACCCTGGAGTAATGGTTAACTTTCACGTATTATTTAAATTTGGAAAGGAAGCACACCATAAAAAGAGTATACAAAAAAAGTACACCATTACTTTAGTAAATAATATTTCGTTTATTTTTAAGTTTGTCACCGTACCCTGCACAATAGTTATTTTGGGAAAGTGCATTGGGTGCAGCAGCGCGAAGCATGTTTGGGATTTCAGTGAGGGTCTTACTGGTTCCAATAATATGAGACATCTAAATGGTGACGGTCTGCATCTACGATTTTTCGTTTCTACATTGTCTGGCCTAATGCTAGTGAACACTTTCCCTGAATCTTAAATCGACACTCGACCGTCCTTGATGACGGGTGTCACTCAAAACTTGTATTTAACATGAATATTCGTCAAAAATCCAGAAGAAGCATTTCGGGATTCACATGAAATCTGATGTAGGTACGTTGCTTAAATTTATAATTAACAAAACGTTGAAACAAAACTCGCTTAACAATGAAACACAAAGCTTATTGGTAGACTGACTCATTAGGCTGTGTACTAATGAACTTTAGTTGAGCGTGAATTTTCGTTGAACAGCACAACCCGAGCATATACAGTTCTAAAATTTTCTGATACTATGTAAGATAAAAAAAAGAGAGAAAATCGAAAGAAAAATTTGATAAATAAAATCCGACTATGACAAAGGAAAATAGAAAAATATGAAACTTTGCGACATAGAAGATAGGATAAAAATTTAATTCCAAAAAGTAAAATCATGAAGAAGAAAAATGCTCATTTTGAAACAAACTGTGTCATATGGAAACGATAAAGAAATGGAGAATGATGAAAGCAAAAGCAGTGTTGCGACTTTGCGCCATCGCTAGAGACGGACAAAATCAGATGTGATTACGAGATTTAAATAGGATAAAATGACGAAAAACAGATGAGACTATATTGAAGAATTGTGAAAACTCTCAAGGCGATAAAGAGATTAAAGAAAGAAAGTGAAAAATCAAGAAAAGGAAGAAAGGAATAATGATAATAAAAGAGAAGGTGAATGAAGAAAGCATATATATTTTGGGATAAAGGACATTAAATGTTGAAAATGGAAAAAATGAAAGAAAAGAAAAATGAAGAGAAAAATACAAGATAAATAAAGAGATATAAGTAAGGATTACGTTAAGAAAAAGCATAGATTGTTTGAATGCAACAAAAAAGAAATATTGTAAATGAAGTCGGATTTAGAAGGCACTGTGAATGATTAGAAAAAAACAGAGTGGTCAACAAAAGACAATAATCGAAAACGAAAGTTAAAAGCACATGGTGAATGAGCTGGAATTATAGTGGTCTGGCGTATTGTGCCGTTGACACTCAAGAGTTTTGGACGAATTTCTTTTCACCTATTCACTTTGGCTAAAGCACAATGAAAAAGCTTGGTTTATAAGTCTAGTATTGAACGCATGCCAGCAAGAAGAATTTTGTTTTGTTATAACGTAAATTCTAAAAACACCCCCTTTTTATGTCTCTCTCTCTATCTATCTATCTCTCTCTATCTCTATCTCTCTCTATCTCTATCTCTCTTACACTATTGCCTTCTCTTGCATTTCTTGCTGTACGTTTTCTCATGTTTGGCATCTTACACCATCTATCACTATGTGTTTCTCTTTCTATTTCACAGTTTCTTTCTCTTTCACACACACACGCACACACTCATTTTCTCTTCGCTTTCTTATTTTTCTTTTTTTGACCTATTTATTTCTCTCTCACTTTTTTATTCTTTCTCTTTTTATCTCTCTTTCAATTCATCACTCCCTTCATTTATCACTTTCTCTCCATTTTATATATCTCTCATTTTATCTATGCTTTAACATGTATTTCTGAATGCAAATATATTACAATTACATTGTTTTCTTGAAGGTTCTTTTTTTTTTCCAAACATTACTACCAAAACGACAGCTATTATAGTTCATCTTGTTTATTATGTCTTTACTTGTAATGTTGCTTCATGTATATGTTTGATGCACGCCACGAGGGATTAATAGAACTCTGCAACAATCGAAACCTACATTAGCCACAGTACTCTCGGCAGATGGATTCTCTAAAATGAGTAATGAGAAAAAGTTCCTTGCTGATTTTGAAAAAAAAAATATACATAATGAGGCTGAATTCTAGTTCAGGCAATTTTATTAAACATTTA